AAGCTGCTTCTTCGGAGAATAATGAAAACAGTTTAAAACCATAAATTCCTTTAATAAATATAAATAAAAAGCAAAATAATTAAAGTTATTTATTTATTTTATTCTATTTTCTTACAAAACTTTATCATTGATTATTTTGCAACAATTTATCTTATTGAAAAGGATGTATTTGTAAAATTTCAGCGAATGAATTTGAAGTAAATCTAATGTGTTCACCTGACAATTTCGTCTAACTTTTCTAAAAAATTTTAACTTGGAAACAAACAATTTACATTTGAATACTTTAACTTTACAGTTATTATAATTATTATGTAATATGGTGGAGAAGATTTGTAGCTCAGGTGGTGCACCTCGAGGTGCACAGAACAAGCTGTGAAACACATATGGAGAAATTCGAACACTTCACTTCTATCTGAAGTTTGTGCTGATGATGTCGTTCAGAAGAACGATGAAAGCTCCACGACCAAACCATCCAGCTCAGAGAACAAAACATCACCAAAATTATGTAATATATTTGATCATTTTATTGAATAATTAAAGTACTCCTATAATTAATAAATTGTCATAATTTTGAAATAAAATTAAAAAGAAAAATAGAATTTTTTGGTTGATTGTTATTCTATATATCAAAAAGGGGTTTTGTGGAGATTTTAGAAAATCCACTGATTGAAATCATGAGTCATTTGAAGCTAGATCAACATGTAAAACTTGGAAACACTGGATGACGGTTTCGTCTTAGTATGGGACGCTTCAGCAGTGCACATCCACGATCCCACACCCCGCGAGATTCAAACCCAGAACCTGTCAGTCTCAAGCACGAGCGCTTAACTACTAGACCACTGAGATGGCCGGCATCCAAAGGTGTTAATGTCTAACTTCAACCAATCTAGATATGATAAAACGGTTTTTGGGTGTGTGTGACCTAAATTTACTTTTATTAAATTGATGTTTAATTGTTTTTTTTCTTTTCCAATAATTGCATTGATCAATTACTTTATTTATCTAATTGAAATACATTTTAGAAAACAATTTGACAAGTTACATAACTTCAATTTGATTTTATTTATTTAAGCAAACAAGAAAGTAGTATTTTTCCTTCTTTTTTTGAATGATCTTTTAGTGTGAATGAAATTTTATTATACTCTTTTAAGATCTTTGATTTTATATTCATTTGAAGTAATAGTTTGATTATATTCTATGTGAATGTGTTATTGTATATGAATGGTTTGAGTTCACTAGAAAAAGAGAAGACAAAATACTAAACAAACATCAAAATAACGTGTTATAAAGTAGAAACAATTTACTAACAATATATTTTTCAATAGTTGAGATCATGAGTCGATTGAAGCTAGATCAACATGGAAAAACTGGAAGCACTGGACGGTTGTTTCGTCCTATTTTAGGACTCCCCAGAAGTGCGCATCCACGACCCCGCCCCGCGAGATTCGAGCACAGGATTTATTGGCCTCGTGTGTGAGCACTTAAAGTTATGGAATGTATGAGACTGTATTTAATTAATAAATAAATGTTTCCTGGCATATTGGACTTTATGTTCATCATCAGGAAAGCACACAAAAAATCGTATTAATGGTTAATTTTGTTTGTAAAAATAGTAGTCCGTTGTAAAATAGAATAGTGTTAAGTAATTATAAAATCTGAATTGGTAACTTATCATGCTGTGTTTACGAAAATCAGATATTGAATGGAAGATATATAATAATCGGCTGGGGAAAAGTGATATGAAGAAGATAATTATTTAGTTATTAAGAACAGAGTAGCCAAAAGTAGTAATAATGGTTGATTAATAGTTGTGAAAGTAATTGGAAAAGAGTGGAAATAATGATTTAAAAAGATGCTAAGTGATAAAACATAGAACAGAAGACTAAGGGTATGGAAGAATGAGGGACTGACCATTATGTTTTTGTATGCAAAGTTTACGCCTGAACTGGTGGATAGAAATAGCCTCTACCATATACAACTTTTTAATTGCATTCCTTTTGAACCAACTCTTTTGACTGTTTGTTTGATTTCAAAAGAGGCTTCTGATAAAGAAGATTGGGTAAAATTAACCAAATATACCAAGATTGAGCTTTTGACTGACTTCTGTAATACTTTAGAAAGCCAAGTGAGGTAACGTGTTTCAAAAGAGTACACTTTGTGAGGCCAATATAACCTGCTCCACATGAGCAAGTAAACTGATGAATGTATACTGATTTCACCTAATGTGTTAGCTTATCCTTAATACAACAACAAGTCATACACCAACTAGCAAAGACAATATAAAAGTCTGTTTTTCAAAAATTCTGCTGTAATATCTCCTTTTAACTCAACATTCATACTACAGCAGAAATTTTGAAAAAAAGAAATTTTGTGACTCAGTCGTCTGTATTTCGTTTCAATCTTATTACACTCAATTCTAGCATATTATTTTCGTTTTTCTTATCTTCCAACTTGTTCGTTTGATCTTTTACGTCTCATTATCTAAATATGTTTAGAAATATATTATGGTAATGCGCAAATTCGGTATTCATCGTATTCATGTTTTAGTCACAACTTTGCATTTCCTATTTTTTTTTGTTTGAATAAAATGCAGATCAAAATGTAACGTAATAATATAAATTTGTTTTACTTCAACAGTTCCTGATCAGCTACTTACAGTTTAAAATGTTTAAAACCCAAAATTCTGTACTGAAATTAACATTCTGATGTCAGTTAAAAGGATGAACACATATATTATAATTGTAAATCGAAGGCAGAATAAATAGATTAATTCCTGTTAATCTGTTACAATTACTGTTCTAACTTTATTGAAGTTAAGAAAGTATAGAAAAATAAACGCTGTTAGTTAACAGACTTGAAGTCAGAAACAAAAGATAATGGAGCTAAAAATTTAGTTGATTATGTAGTTGAAAATAGTCAACTGATATTAAACCATTATATCAAATGCATGTTATTATTCAAAACTACTACACTGTTCTTCAGTTTTTATTTCTCTGGTATATCATTGGCTGAAATAATTTCTTGTTAAACGAATGAAATTTCAGGAATTAAAGCAACATTACGAGAGTAACCAGGTGCTTTTTAAGATACTATTCTTCCTCAAGATAAGAGTAATACTTTAACTTAAAAGTGTATGCATACTGATTATTAACAGGTATCTGTCGTAACAAGAACTATTTGAAGTCATTTTCTAATACTTAATTGTTTTCAGTTCCTGCTAACCTAAAGCCTCTTACATTTTATTTACTTCAGGTAGATTTCGGAGAGTATTCTGTAAAATTTCCAATATCTTATCATCTATTTACTTGTTATATAATAAACTATATCTTCAGCATTAGTCATTTAGATGTTTAAGATAAAGTATCAGCACTTGGTTACGATCATTTGTTTGATCTGGAACGATCAACGATCAAGTAGAAGACATATGTATAATTTTCGTTTTGTTGAATTACTGAAGATACTTTTTTATTTCAGCTAAAATAAACTTTCATTCCAAAATATTCTATGAATCGTGAGTTGGAAGTTTTCTGAATTCTTGTAGATGAGTATACTTTCAATTATTAGAAAAGTGAATAATTTGTTTCAGGATTATTTTCAAGTTAGAAACTCATCTCAGGAAAAAAGAACTAAATTAGTATATTTAAGCTAAAATTGATTTACATACTTAACATTTGGGAATATGCTAATCAGTAATTACAACCGATAAGTCTTAGACAAACCCAATGAATCCGTTATACAGATCATCTATTCCAAATAATTTACAACTATTTTACACAATACAGTTCTTATATGTTACTTACTTACTTACGCCTGTTACTCCTCGTGAAATAGCATAGGCCTCTCACCAGCGTTCTCCATCCAACCCTGTCCTGGGCAATCCTTTCTAGCTACGTCCAGTTGTAATTCATCGTTTTCATATCTGCTTCTATTATCCGACGCAATGTGTTCTTTGGCCTTCCTCTTTTTCGCTTCCCCTCAGGATTCCAAGTTAGGGCTTGCCTCGTGATGCAGTTTGACGATTTGCGTAATGTATGTCCTATCCATTTCCATCGTCTTTTCCTAATTTCCTCTTCAGCTGGAAGTTGGTTTGTTCTCTCCCACAGAAGGCTATTGCTGATGGTATCCGTCCAATGGATGTTGAGTATCTTGCGAAGGCAGCTATTTATAAATACTTGTACTTTCTTGATTGTGGTTGTTGTAGTTCTCCAAGTTTCAGCTCCATACAGTAGAACTGCCTTGACGTTCGTATTGAAGATTCTCACTTTGATATTGGTTGAAAGTTGTTTTGAGTTCCATATGTTCTTCAATTGTAGGAATGCGACCCTTGCTTTACCGATCCTCGCCTTTACGTCTGCATCTGAGCCTCCTTGTTCATCGATGATGCTTCCCAGATATGTGAAGGATTCTACATCTTCCAGAGTTTCGCCATCAAGAGTGATTGGATTGCTGTTCTCCGCTTTGAATTTGAGGACCTTAGTTTTCCCTTTGTGTATGCTGAGGCCTACTGATGCAGAGACTGCTGCTATACTGGCTGTCTTCATCTGCATCTGTTCGTGTGTACGTGATAGGAGGGCTAGGTCATCTGCGAAGTCCAAATCGTCTAATTGATTCTGAGCTGTCCATTGTATTCCATGTTTTCCTTCAGATGTTGAGGTCTTCATAATCCAGTCGACCACCAGAAGAAAGAGGAAGGGAGAGAGTAAATAGCCTTGTCTGACTCCGGTCCTTACTTGGAATGCATCTGTCAGCTGTCCTCCATGCACTACTTTGCACTGTAGTCCGTCGTATGAGTTCCGGATTATATTGACAATCTTCTCAGGAATTCCGTAGTGTCGAAGAAGTTTCCATAACGTCCTCCTGTCTACACTGTCGAATGCCTTTTCATAATCAATGAAGTTGATGTATAATGATGAGTTCCACTCAACTGATTGTTCGACGATGATCCGTAGTGTTGCGATTCGGTCTGTGCACGACCGATCCTTACGGAATCCAGCTTGTTGATCTCGAAGTTGGGCGTCTACTGCATCCTTCATCCGGTTCAGCAACACTCTGTTGAAGACTTTCCCTGGTATTGACAGTAGTGTTATGCCTCTGTAGTTTTCACATTTGCTCAGATCTCCTTTCTTTGGAATCTTGACGAGGTGTCCTTCTTTCCAGTCCATCGGCACTTGTTCCTCCTCCCAAATCTTTTTGAATAGAAGATAAAGCATGCTTGTGGTTGTTTCGATGTCTGATTTCAGTGCTTCAGCTGGTATGTTGTCGGGTCCTGCTGCTTTCCCGTTATTGATTTGTCTGACGGCCATTCTAATTTCTTCCGTCGTTGGTGGGTTGACATCTATAGGAAGATCTGTGTGTGCTGCTTCGATGTTCGGTGGATTCATTGGAGCCGGCCTATTCAGGAGTTCCTCGAAGTATTCTACCCATCTGTTACGTTGTTGTTGAATTTCGGTGATTGGCTTGCCTTCTTTGTCTTTGACCGGCCTCTCTGGTTTACTGTATTTCCCTGATAGTTTCTTCGTTGTATCGTAAAGCTGTTTCATGTTTCCTTCTCTAGCAGCTTTTTCTGCCGTCGTTGCTAGTTCTTCAACGTATTTCTTCTTGTCGGCTCTAATGCTCCTCTTCACTTGTTTGTTTGCTTCTATGTATTCAGCTTGTGCTTGGACTTTCTCTGCTCGTTTTCGGCTGTTGTTTATTGCTGCCTTCTTGTTCTTCCTTTCTTTGATCTTGTCCACTGTTTCTGTAGAAATCCATTCCTTATGATGGTATTTCTTTAGACCGAGAACCTCTTGACACGTTGAAGTTAATGCTTCCTTGATGCCTTTCCAGTTGTCCTCCATAGTAGTTTCTTCTTCTTTCAGTAGATCTCGTAAGGCTTGGAACCTGTTGTTGAGAGCTATCTTGAATTCATTGAGTTTGACAGTATCTCGAAGGAAGGCTGTATTGAACCTTTGTATTGCTGTTTGTCCACTTGTCCAGTTCTTTTTTAGCTTCAGTTTCAAATTGGCTACAACTAGGTGGTGATCTGAAGCTACGTCAGCACCTCTCCTGGTTCTCACATCTTCCATTGTCCTTCGGAATTTTTTGTTGATGCAAATATGATCTATTTGGTTCTCTGTAGTGTGGTCCGGTGAGATCCATGTAGCCTTGTGTATACGTTTATGTGGAAATATTGTGCCTCCTATGACCAATTTGTTGAATGCGCATAGATTTGCAAATCTTTCTCCATTTTCGTTTCTTTCTCCCAGTCCATGTCGTCCCATGATATCTTCATATCCAGTTTTGTCTATTACGACCTTGGCATTTAGATCTCCCATTAGAATGGTGAGGTCCTTTCTTGGGCATTTCTCTATCACTGACTGCAGCCGCTCGTAGAATTGATCTTTAATGTCGTCGTTGCTATCATTAGTGGGTGCATAACATTGGATAATATTCATTAAGATCCCCTCCTTCTTTGTTTTGAATGATGCTTTGATGATTCTGGATCCGTGAGATTCCCATCCTACAAGTGCATTTCGTGCTACTTTGGACAGCATAAGAGTGACTCCCTGAGTGTGTGGAGCATTTTCCTCTTCGTGACCGGAGTATAGCAGCATCTCTCCCGTAGCTAGCCTTTTCTGTCCAGCTTGGGTCCAGTGGGTTTCGCTGATTCCCAGTACTGCTAAGTTGTATCTCCTCATTTCCATTGATATTTGACTGGTCTTCCCGGTTTCCCACATTGTTCGAACGTTCCATGTACCTATAAAAATTTTTGCTCTGGTTGTTAGAAGGGGCATCGGCCTCGTGGCTTCCGAAGGAACTCGGCTTTCACCATGAAGCGTCATAATTCTTCTAAATGAAGACCTTCTAACTCCCAGTGCAGAGTTAAAATGGTTTGGATTATTTTTTCTGGTAAGCGTTTTTTTAGCGAGTTAGTTTTCTACGGGATGGGGACGCTAACCCCATGCCCAACCCTCCTCCTTTACCCGGGCTTAGGACCGGCAGCAACCCTATAAGAGCTACAGGCGATCTGTTGTAAAGTGATAAACTCCAGGGTAAAATTACCATACAAAATCTAACTTTGGATTTTCCTTTCTGATATATAATCAGATAAAAACACATATAAAAGATATTGATGAAGACATCAATGATCCTGTTTATTATACGTCATAAATTTACGGTGTTTATTTATTTGTTATTATTCATTATTCAATAAATGAGAATATATAATTAATACATTTCAATAGTAATATATTTAAAAGGTGTTTTGTGGATCGTGGATGCGCACTGCTGAGGAGTCTCATACTAGGATGAAACGGCCGTCCAGTGCTTCCAGGTTTCCCATGGTGGTCTAGCTTCAATTGACTCATGATTTAAATCTGTGAAAATTTCTAAAATCTCCACAAACCCCTTCTGATAATAATCATCTGCTCACCAGTGACTGACTTCAAGAGATACTCCTGGAGTTCTAGTGGGAAGCCGTTACCAGTGGAGTTCAACCAAGTCCGTTGTGAGATATCAGCTCACTGAAGACAATGGTATATGGTGGCGCCATTTCGTGGATTGGTTGAAGTTAGACATTAACACCGTTAGATGCCGGCTCAATGGTCTAATGGTTAAGTGCTCGCGCGCGAAGCCAGTAGGTCCTGGGTTCGAGCCCCGGGTGGTGCGGGATCGTGGATGCGCACTGCTGAGGGGTCCCATACTAGGACGAAACGGCCGTCCAGTGCTTTCAGGTTTTCAATGGTGGTCTACCTTCAACTGACTCAAGATTTCAATCTGTGAGAATATTGTTTATTGGTTGTAACTAGAATGATATTTGAAAATAATGTAAGAAAGTATCATTCAATAAACATTTCTCTATTAATGTATAGTAGAAGAAAAGTATAAATGAAAATGTATTCGTCTAAATAAAGTTTTCGCTTAGCTCAATACTGTTCCTTTTTTTCAAAATCAAATAAGTGAGAATTAACAATATTAATTGAACAAAGCCTTATTGTGATTTATAAGACAATTTATGGAAACAAGGGAACCAAAATATATATGAATTATGCTGCAAATTATGAGGTGGAGTTATATTTTCAATAGTTTGATGAAATCTTGAATATGTTGACAAATGTATGGTTATCAGGTTGTAGTAATAACTGTATAACATTGAATTATGGACACTATTCAACACTGTAAATAAAGCGTTTATATGAACGGCTTTAAATTTGTCTTGATGATATGAAAGTAAATTGAGTTATTGAACACGTGAGATCAGTACTAAGGAAACAGAAATAAAAATGCATCAAACAAATTGATAAACTGTTATTCTATAATACTACGACATAGTCATTTTGTAATGTAAAAAATGCTTCTTTGGCTTAACCTTCACCTACAAAGTTAACAGATAACATGGTTATTAGCTGATCTTTAATGTTTCTTGTTGATGGTAAATTTCCACTTGAAGTGAGGACACGTAACAAGTTTGATAACTCATCAAGTTCCTTGAATAAAATAGTGCTAATTATGACTAAATATTGATGTAATGAAGATAAATTATAAACGTTCGTGACAAAAATGTTTTTCCTATCAGGTTTCTCTTCACTTCAACAAATGAACAGAAATCTTGAATCTACTGAGGCAAAAATACCTTGTTATACCATTCTAAATTACCATTCTTTTGATTATGTCAAATATGTGTAGGTACAGTTTTGAGATTCGAATTTGATTTGTTTAGTTTTGTAGATAACTCTTACTTCGGTAAGATGCTTATCAAACTTCAGAAACTCATTGAGTACCTTAAATGCTACACTGTCCCCATGGAACATTAAAATATTATAGATTCTCATTGAGTTGTTAGAATTTTCCCAATAGATAATGAAGAAACGATGTAACCAAGTTGCACACGAACAATTATAGTTACCAAGATAATTTTCAACGAATCATCTTATATTTTAACTACATAAAATGATAGCATCAGTTTTAGTGGAAAAAAAGTCTTCATAAATTATGAAAGGTATTCGATTATTTACATAGGTGTTTGTTGCTATGAGATTTTCAGAATTAATGTGATTGGTAGATGTACAATTCAATGATTTTATTTAACATGTTATTTTAATATTAGTCTGCATAGTTAATCTATATTTAATTAAATACCACTATGAAACCATATTTTGAGAGATAATCATACCAGTCTATTACAGTATTTGTTTCTATCATCATTACACTTGGTAATTATTTTTACTTGACTGTGTATGATATTTTAAATGTTATAATACATTCATTTCAAACCCTGGATTATTAAAATTGTTAACATTTAAACAAGATTAAATATTTTCTGATTGATCTAGACGTTTATGTCAGGAAAACATGAAAAAAGTATAAAATTGAAAAATACTTTTCTCTGATAATTATCTGAGTGATAAAACAAAAACATCATTTAATTATTAACATGATTTCAACAATTAAAATTCCTAAAATCTCCACAAAACCCCTTCTAATAATAATGATCATCTGCTCACAAGTGACTGACTTTAAGAGGCATTTTTGGGAGTTCTAGTGAGAAGCCATGACCAGTGGAGTTCAACCAGGTCTGTTTTGAGATATCAACTCACTGAAGACAATGGTGTACGGTGGCGCAATTTCGTGGATTGTTTGAAGTTAGACATTAACACAGTTGGATGTTGGACATCTCAGTGGTCTAGTAGTTAAGCGCTCGCGCGTGAGACTGATAAATCTTGGGTTCGAATCTCATGGGTGGCGGGATTGTGGATACGCACTGCTGAGGAGTCGCATACTAGAATGAAACGGCCATCCAGTGCCTCCAGGTTTTCCATGGTGATCTAGCTTCAATTAACTCATGATTTCAACTAATTATTAACTATTTAAAACTAAATCATTTAAATAAAATTATTTTACTCTAAAAATATCCTAAATTGATCATCTTTTTTAATAAGTAGTATCTATTGTGTAAATAGGTACATGGAATTGTAGACATGAGTTGAATTCATAAAAAAATTGAAATATTGAATGCAATTGATCCCTTTGATAAATTTAAATAATGTAATAAGAAGACGAAAAGTATCAGAACCATTTGAAACCGCATCACTCTGGATAATAAGCTAAGATTACCAGAGTAGGTCTAAGGTGAGAACAAACTGTTTTTGAATACACAAACGGAGTTTGCATTTTCGTATGGCTAAGGATCCAATAAACTTTAGTATACGCCCATTTACATTTTATGCAACACCACAAAAGCCGAGTTAAGATCAATCTTATGACCTGTTTCAATTATGTGTTTGACAATAGAGGATGATGGATGTTTATCTTCTACTCTTATTGGGTCAATTGATCCTAATTGTTTCTGCAACCATTTAAATACATTCACTTGGTATTGTTTTGCTTGAATCTTCCCACTGATATTTATGACTGCAATTGACCAGTCTCTTATTGGCATATATGCGTATTGCCCTGATATTGTCTTAATTTACAAGGATTGCAAATAAAGATGGATAGTTGAGATTTAGATGGTGGTTGGAGGTAGTCAACAAGAAACCCTGGACCCGAGTTTCGTGCTACTTGGCACTCGTCAGCAACGTGTACCTGTAA